GAACAGTCAGCTGTTAATCCTAACGCACAGCAGTATGTGGCCATCCTGCCCACTGCCACTGTGCTAAATAAATAAATATGAAAATGAATTTGATTTATAGAATGTAATTGAAACTATGTCAAAGAAATGAAAATTTTTGCAAAACACAGACTGTGGAATGAGATCAGTGAGAGGTGATTCCCATAAAAAAAAAAAACTTTTTTTTCTATTTTTTCCTGAAGGTGAAGGCAACAAGAAGCAAGCAACACAAACCCYACAGCTCAGAAAGCTGCCTGTCAATTTATGGACTGACCGACAACAGTCAAGATCAGCAGTGTTTAAGTGCAGCTCCGTCCTACAGGCCAGCTGTTCTGCTCCTTTGGTTAGCTCGAGCAAACGTCTACTAATCCCTGATTCTGTCCAGCTCTTTTATCAGTTGAACTTCAGCTTGTCCCAGACCTGATGAGTTACATGAGTCGTCTGAGACTGAAACTTTTTTCCAGTTTCTGACCTTTGACCCATTCAAAATAAAAACTGCTGTTTGCTGCCAGGAGAGCCGACAGAATAGAAACATCCAAGATAAGGCGCCACAGTATCTGACAAAAGTATATGATACTTCAAAGACAATATGTTGTAATTTGCATTTACAATGCACCCAATGGTTGCTTGAAGACTGGAATCGGCTGATTTTTAGCTGGACTCAGCGAATAACTAAAGTTAGCCCAGTGAAATAGGACCTCCGCTGATTTCAGGTGTGCAAAAACAGCAATGAATGGGCTTACATAGGATATTTACTGAAATTATTTTTAGTTGCCCATTTTGTTTATGTGAAAATATGTGTCCCATAATCTGGAAGATGTTGTTTGTATCATGTTCTGTAGTTTTTCTCATTAAGAGTTCTAGTGAAATCAAAATTCCTACTCAAAATCAAAACTGAAACCAGCTTAGAAAATGTTGATCGGTTCAACATTTGTCTTTGTAATACAGTATGTATTTCAAAAGAGATGGTGTATACTAACTGGCATTTAAACAAGTCAAACCTTTATGATGYTGAGCTAATCAAAGGCTAGTTTTCACTAGAATGATTGTTATGGGACATTTTCCCAACAAGGTGTGTAATCTTATGTTTTGGAACCCCTGGATTCATATGATAAAGAAAAACTTCACTAAAGCATCCAGTCAAATTTTTTATCTTGACCTGAAGGAAACAGGAGGAAGACTTCTACATCACCAAAAACTGTTCTTCTTGAATCTCTGATCCTTTTGAATGCCTCTGTCTTTTTCAGATGCCTATCCTGTGTCTGAGGTGGTCTACACTTGGACTCAGGGGGCYGCCAAGTCTGTGGTGGTAGCGGAAGATGGCTCCAGGCTGAACCAGTACCATCTCATTGGGCAAACCGCTGGCACAGAGGACATACACACCAGCAGAGGTGGGCGTGTTTGTCAGTTGTTGCACCAAAACCCCGCGGGTTTAAGATTCAGTCGATGGTCAACCTGATTTGAATACCTGCGGTCAGTGGTACAAACACAACAAAATCAGAGCCAAAAACTAACAAGATGTACGATAGAGTTCACATGATGAACCTGCCAACCTCTGGAAAAATGCCTACCCTTTGGTTATTGTTTTGGTAATTCTTTGTGTTCAGGTTCATTCTCTTTTTGGTTATCAGTGATTTGCATGGTCTTTTTCCAGTAGCAGAACAAATTTTTTTTGTTTAGCGGATTAGCTTTTTCACCAGCTTTGAAAACCTTTATCAAACCAATTTGTTTCCATTAATATACAGTAAGTACACTAACAGCTAACTAACAAACTAAAATCAAAATGTTTGTGTCAGTCCCACCAGTCTTCAGCTTGAAGGAAAMAAAGTCGTATGACACAGCCTGAGTGACAGTCGTCTTAGCAGTTAGTGATTAGCTGTTTGTTAGATTACACTAAGTTTTATTTGTTTAACTGTTTAGAGTTAGCTTCCACAATTTTATTTTTTACATGTTTAGCGGTTAGCTGTTTAGTAATAGTTTCAGCAATTTTTTTTACATGCTTAGCAGTTCAGCATTARCAAAGCTATATTTTTAGTTAGCAAATTACAGCAGGTAAAATAAGTATTGAACATGTCAACATTTTTCTCAGTAAATATATTACTAGAGGTGCTAATGACATGAAATTTTCACCAGATGTTGGTAACAACCCAAGTGATCCATACATACAAAGAAATCAAACCATAAATGTCCAGAAATGAAGTTATTTGTAATAATGTGGAATGGCACAGGGAAAAAGTATTGAACACATGAAGAAAGGGAGGTGTAAAAAGGCATGGAAAGCCAAGACACCAGCTGAACTCTCTCAGTAATTAGAAAGCAAGCCTGCCCCTTGTCCGTGCAAGTTAATATCAGCTGGTTCAGTCCCAAATGATGGCCAGTTATCACACAAGAACCATCTGATGATGGGTAAAAGTAAAGAGCTCTCTCAAGACCTTCACAACCTTATTGTTRCAAAGCATAATGATGGCATCGGTTACAGAAGAATGTCTAAACTTCTGAAGGTTCMAGTGAGCACTGTTGGGGCCATAATTCAGAAGTGGAAAGAACATTATTTCACCATAAACCGACCACGACCAGGTGCTCCTCACAAGATTTCTCACAGAGGAGTGAAAAGAATTATCAGAAGAGTTGTCCAAGAGCCAAGGACCACTTGTGGAGAGCTTCAGAAAGACCTGGAATWAGCAGGTACGATTGTTTCAAAGAAAACAATAAKTAATGCACTGAACCACCATGGCCTGTATGCACGCTCACCACGCAAGACTCCACTGCTGAAGAAACAGCATGTTGAAGCTCCTTTAAAGTTTGCTACACAACATTTAGACAAGCCTGTGTAATACTGGGAGAATATAGTCTGGTCAGATGAGACCAACATTGAACTGTTTGGATGTCATAATACACATCCTGTTTGGAGGTCAAATGGCACTGCACATCAGCCCAAAAACACCATACCAACAGTGAAGTTTGGAGGTGGGTACATCATGGTGTGGGGTTGTTTTTCAGCATATGGTACTGGCAAACATCAAATAATTGAAGGAAGGATGAATGGAAAAATGTACAGAGACATTCTTGATAAAAATCTGCTTCCATCTACCAGGATGATGAAGATGAAACGTGGCTGGACATTTCAGCAAGACAATGAGCCCAAACACAAAGTCAAGGAAACTCACAGTTGGTTTCAGAGAAAGAAAATAAAGCTGCTGGAATGGCCCAGCCAATCACCTGACCTGAATCCAACAGAAAATCTATGGAAAGAACTAAAGATCAGAGTTCATAGAAGAGGTCCACGAAACCTTCAAGATTTGAAGACTGTTTGTGTGGAAGAATGGGCCAAAATCACACCTGAGCAATGCATGCCACTAGTTTCTCCATACAGGAGGTCGTCTTGAAGCTGTCATTGACAACAAAGGCTTTTGTACAAAGAATTAGATAAATTTCAGTAAGCGTGTTCAATACTTTTTCCCTGTGCCATTCCACATTATTACAAATAACTTCATTTCTGGACATTTATGGTTTGATTTCTTTGTATGTATGGATCACTTGGGTTGTTACCAACATCTGGTGAAAATTTCATGTCATTAGCACCTCTAGTAATATATTTACTGAGAAAAATGGTGACGTGTTCAATACTTATTTTTACCCGCTGTATGTATTAGCAAAGCTAATGTTTTGGGTTTTCTTATGTTTGGTCTGTGCCATCTGTCGCTTCTTCTCAGTAAACATTTTTCCAGTTAGTCTGCCACCCCCATCTTTGCCTGTCCCCTGTGTCATCTGTCAGAGCTTTAGACACTCTACCAATCAGTCCCAGTCCTTTTAGTCCTTTAGTTCTCACTATCTCCTCAGTGTTTATTATTGGCTCTCACGCCATGTTCGGTTCTTCTCTGGGTCTCCCCATATTATCTTTAAATAACTGTAAGATTTGCTACCACACCAGCCTTCTATTTTGTTTTTAACAAAGTAAGCACTATTTTTGAGTGGGTCTACATTCCTTGGTTTATTTCCTTTACATTCATGACAGAATACTAGAATTTGTGTTTCTACCTTTCTTCATCAATTGCAGTGCTTGTGGTTCTGCTATTCAGCTAACAGTTAATAGAGGAAACGTTTTTTTTTTCATTAAGTGCGCTATGTGAAGCTAAGTATGTACTTTTAGCTTTTAACAAGAGCAACATAGTTTAGTGGTACTTACAGATTGTACAAGAAGACTTACAACTTGTGCAAGGACCAACCTATAGGAGTGCAAGTCCAGTCCAGGTTCTATGAGTCAGTGGGACAAACAGACCTAAACCTACATAACAAAAAGGACAGGTGTAAAAAGAAACCTAGCATTTYGACTCATGAAACCACTCTACCAATTTGATGGTCATACTCCAAATAAAACTCACATTGGTTGAACCATAGATGTTTTATGTAACCTTAATTGTGGCTTAATGATGGTAAAAACACTTCATGTGTTTGGTCCAGTGCTACTGCCATAATGTTTCCTCATTTAGTGTCTACTAGGTTATTTATGTCAAAAAGAGCAATTATGTTGGATAAAAGCTCCGCTAATCTCCTGTCAGAAATGGGGTCATATATGAGCACCAGCAGTTTTAGTGCAAACAGTCAAATATGTATGTCCACCTCTAGCCATAAACAGCATCAATAGTTTTAATTTATTTGTTTGGCCAATGTCATCTTGTATGGTTTTCTGAGCCTCCATCTGTGGTTAGGGTTAGAATCAAGACCATAAGGATCCTGGATTTGCTGACAGACACTGACAGACAATTTATTTGGTGTTAAAGAAATGTCTTCGACGCATCTAAACCAAACTAATTCATTCTGTTTGTTTTGTTTACATAACAAATTAAGACATGGTTCTAGCCCTGGTAKGTTATAGAACCAGAACTACTTCAGTGAAAAAACCTCAAATAGTTGGCTCTTTAATCAATCTCAGTTTGGAGACAGACTAATTCTTATTGGACCAATGAGCTCATGGCTAGTCTGAGCAGAACCAAAGTCAAAGTGAATCAGCGAAAGTCAATTTTATGCACCTTGGTATCGACGCCAAATTCTCATTTCAGTTATTTTGGCAAAACTATTACAATAAAGGATGGCTAAAAGTTAGCAGAGTTAAAAAGTGGGTGAAAATTGAAACAAGCTAAATGCTTGTCAAATGTAGAAAAACGAAACGTTGGCTAAAACTATGTCTAAGAAAATGCTAGCTAAAGTAGCATTACAGTAGCTAAAAACTAAAGTAGTAAAAGACTAGCTAAAAGTATAAAATGGCTACCTAAAAAGTAAAAATAAAAAAGTGGCCAAATTGTAAACGGTACTTCAGAAGCAAATGGCAAGCTAAAATTTAAAAGAAGCAGAATTTTAGGTACATGCTGAATATGACAAAACACTGGCATTTGTAGCAAAACACAAACTAAAAGCTAAATTTGTAAAAGGTTGGCTAAAAGTAGAAAAAGGCTAGCTAAAGTTAAATAAGCAAAAAAGCAAAGGGCTAGCTAAGGGTTAAAAGTAGCAGAAAGCTAGCTAAAGCTAAATGTAGCACAGTAAGCTAAATTGGCTCACTTTTGCTTGTCAGGCTTGTTAGAACAGGTATGTGCAGCAAGTAAAGTGTTAATTGTTCATTACAGTTTCAAGGAATCTCATTTCCAAAGATCTGAATGATTGTTTTAAGGCCTTTTTAAGGTACATCCTCTAAATCAGTAGCAGCTGACCCTGTTGGGAAGAACATCCAATATATTTTTTTAACTAAATATAATCTTAGAGATTTAGCTGCCAGGTTTGGTGATATAACCTTTTTTTAGCCCTCTTTACTTCAACATGRTGTACTTGTTAAAATTTTCACCACTCTCTCACAGTTTATTTACACCTTTTCATCCTCAGGCTTTTAGCGACCCTGATGCTAATTAGCTGAACATGATCTAAAAAGTGAGTGGCCTAAAATAATAGACTTTTGATTTAAATATAAAAGCAAATAAACATCCTTAATGGACGTTTATTTGTGATTTTGGTCTTTTTCTGGGATTTATTTCCATAGAAATAAAAGAGTACGGTAATATTTAATTATTGGTCACTGGGGTTTTCTTGGAGCTAGTACAGGTTTACAAGGAAAAACTTTAAAGAAATGCCTATCACCTGCTGCCTTCATGACAGA